CTTTCCCCAGTCACACTTATGTCCTCTGTTTATTGTAGATGTATGCGTAATGATTGTGTTGTGACAAATGATTAAATTAAATTAAATTAAATTAAATTAAATTAAATTAAATTAAATTAAATTAAATACTGTTTAAATTTGGTCCAAAACGTTCCGACCTCGCAATGGGGGCCTGGACAACCTTTTTAAGATTCAAACGTCTACACAATGTGCTCAATTTCATTTGATTAAAGTCGCTGGTAATTATTATGCCATTTGATGGTCGACCACGCAGAACTGAATCAATCCCTCTTGTAATGTATTCACAATTTCCTTCTCATCTACAGCAGACAGGCCTGGCGGGTAATAGAGACCTTACGTTTTTAGGATGGTGACGCGACGGCAACGGTTACCAATACAATAAATTATTGAAAAGAATTAAAAATTTACAATATATGAATAATTTAGACATTGTCCTTCGCTCTGTTTACAACGCCAAGTCACACATTTTCACGTCTTCATACAACGGCTGTATTTGAAGCCGCAACAAGTGCAATGTCTTCAATTTCTAACACTGTATTAAATTCAAACGTTTGATGATACGCGAGGAATTGTCTTTACTACCATTTTGTGTGAAGAAGTTTGTTTTGGCCGTCGTCGTCGCGATAAGACAGTCCTGGCGGGTAATATTCTGCAATGTTCGCTGTGGAGGTAAAAGCTCTTGAAATCCTTGTTGGTTTAAGTTGTAGCAGCCATAAAAGTTCTTTCCTATTTTCCTCTAAGTTTAAGAACCGGGTGCATGGTATTTTCTATTGACATATTGTAGACAGGGTCGTAACTTCGTTATTATGGAGTTCACGCAACGGCAAGACGACGGCTATCAATACACTGTCATTAATCCTATGGCACAAAGCAAATGAATAATTAAAAGTCAGGGGTTTAGACGTCCAAATATGTTTGATGCGAAACCAGGATTATTCATATTGAGTATCGTCAAAGCTCTGTTGCCGACGGGAAAACGCATAGTTTCACGTCTCGTATAGTCACGTTAGCATTTCAAACCGTGACAGGCAAATTTTTCTAGGGGAGTTGATCAAAATTGCTCTGAAAGTTAAAGCTCTGTTTCACTCGTTCTAAACTGTATTCAATTCAAACGGAAGTAAATACAAGACAATATTTCCATAAAATCATTTATTTCATATATACAGTTTGTTTAGCAGACCTCCTGACGCCGCCATCTTACATGCGTAAACTCTCTATAACGGCTGGAGGTATGAGCTTGTTTTGCAAAAGGGCGAGGCGGAAGTCGTGCCCAGTGGTCCCGTTCTAACTTGGATATAAATATCATTACAATTATCTGTCGGCTGGGGAAGCGTATTTTCGAACGTTACAGCGGATGATAAAATAGAATTATTAATCATCAAGCAAATTCTTCTGTAAATTCTGTAAATTTTGATGCAATGACTCCCTCTATCCTCTTGCATTTCCAATCTCTTCTGTGACAGGGTAGGGGGGGGGGGGATATGGCTATTTCCTGGAACTACACTGAGTCACGTGTCAGTATTTTTTAGCATTAAGCATTCCCTCAAAAGGCTAGTCCTAGACATTTGCATGTCTTCTTTAATGATTACCGGGTAGGTAGGTGAGAATAAGAACACTCCCTAATCTGGTGATGAGTGGCAAGAAATTCTCATCAGCCAGGGGCAGCCCAATTGATACAATGATATGATCTGAGTATCATATTCTGGATTTAGTAATGTTTGAATCTCTGTAAATTAAAGATGAGCAAGGTGCTGAAACATCCCGTCATGTGAACAAGAAAACTTGAAAGGCCTATAGCTAAGTTATAAGTAAGCTAAACAAGGATCTTGTATTATGAATCCTGGTGTTTTTGTGGGTTTTTTTGTGCAGAACACAGCTCACAAATAACATGATAGGTTTTGGATTACTAAAATTTAATAAAGCTGTCATGTTAATACATAATTTTTTTTTGAAAGGCTTCTTAGGGCAGTTGCATATCGGCAAGTAGTGAAGGTTGTGTAGGGCTATACCAGCAGTTCAAGAAGGTACCTCATTCCTTGCTGTGCATATGCCAAAATACGGTTTCTGTTTTGTTTATGTGAACAATGTTGTATAGTTGAATCATGCCGAGTTATTTTTTAACACACTGAAATCATGCTTGAAAGTATGATAGTAGTAAAAAACTGTCCAGAATTTCCATAGGGGTGGGGGAAACTAGCTGTCAGAAACAGTTAGAAAAATCTAGAGGGATGGGCGTTATAATTAAGTAAATTTCTTCCATTGGGGAGGGGGAGGGGTAAAGTACAAATTGCGCCACAACTTTTCGTACCAGCGACACTGAACTTTGCTTGACAATTTCGTGTACTTGCAGGAAAGTACGGCCGGATTCAACATGGAGATCAAGATTGAACAAAATTGGCAATAGTTTGATAGGAAGCTGCATATTAAACATAGTGAGAAATAATGGACAAGCATGCCTTTAATTTCTACTGGCGTTGGCAATCCAATTTAATCCATAAGGGAAAGTACATTTATTATGCCGAGCGGGGGGGATGAAGATGTTAAGGGGGGGCTCCGAAATATTTTCTGGCATTAAAGGGGGGGGCCTCTGAAAGTTCTTGATATACTGAGGGGGGGGGCTCTAAACTTTTCAAAGGTTTGACCCCAGCAAATTAAAGTTAAAATTTTTACATCAGTTTCAGGTAAAATTTGCGTAATAAAGTAATTATTTTTGTGAAATAATAACCATTTTTGTAAAATACAGTCAATTTACATGCAATTTGTTTGCGAAATTTGCTTTAGAAAACGCCAGAAATTCAGTCCTAGAGCTTCGAAAATGTAAAAATTTTCTGGGGAAGGACCCCCCAGACCCCCCTTTTCTCCCAAAACTTAGTATAAGAGTGCCAATCAATCACAAAAAGCTTTATTATAATTATTACACGTATAATCCTCTGACATCCCCCCACCCCAAATGTCAGATGCTTTGCTACGTCCCTGATGGTTGTATTCGAAACCGATTTCAGTTTTAAGATATCCTTAGTCTGCTCTTCTAAATGGATACATGAAATCACCTATAGCTTATTTAAAAATTTTTTGCGCCAGGTTTGTGAAGTAATTTACACGTCAAAAAGCAAAAAAGCATATACAATTTGCAAGAATGATATGTTCTATGTTTATGGAATATTTCGTACAAACGGGGTGGAAATTATAGAAATTGAAGCATACTGGCACTTTTGCATGCATTTTTGACAGGCATGCAAAGACATTTGCAACAGATGCCGGGAGATACGTTGGGTGGGGGCAACACACTGTAAGGTTCCAGCACATTACCCTGATCCAGGAAATCCTGGCCACTACATGAACGTGTTCAAGACTCCGAATACGCTGAATGATGGACAACAACCAACCTGTTGATAATTCCACCCCTAGAACCAATTTAAAATGTTTTAAAGACGGTGCCATTTCATCTGGCACTTGTGAGATGAAAGAAGCAGCAGATAGGTAGTTTTGTTGAGGAGAAGCACTTGAATATATCAGACATCTTGAGCAACTGCAAATTGTATCTATGATAAGAGAGAATTCCGGATTGTACTCCTTCGATTCCGAATTCTAGAGGGTGGGGAGGGGGGGCATTGAAAATTTTAAAAACTTGGAGGGGGGCATCGAAATTTACCGATAACCTCAGCAGGGGCCCTGTAAAAATATGAGCGTTTTTCAAGACATCTTCATCCCCCTCCCTCGGTGTAATAAATGTACTTTCCCTAAGTACGTTTGATGGCTCGTACATATAATTTCTTTAATTCTCCTGAATGAACTGCGCTGCACGAGCCCTATGTTGTAAGTCCGTATGTAATTAAAGGTAATATATTATTTGCGATAAAACACAGTCCTTGCATGCAGTAGCCAGTAGTTAAAAAATACATGGGTTTTTAGAAAGTTGAATTTCTGTGCGAACAACATTATCAACTCGCTAACATGATTTTTCCACTTTAAATTAGTTTCAATTTCATCACCAATGTATCTCGCTTGCTGAACTTGCTTAAGGCAATTATTTACCGTATTTACTCGTTTAAGCGCCTCGGCCCTATTTATAATTTTAGTATTACGGATGCTGCGCTTATTTTAAGTATCTGTACTTACAGCTCGTTCGAAGCAATCTTGCGTATGCATATCAAGTATGGTGCCCACTGTCCGTACAGTTAATTGAAAATATCGAGAAGGTGCAGAGAAGAGCAACCAAATTTATTCTTAATCTTGGGTTTGTCACCAACATACCGTATTTAACAAGACCACATAATCTAGATCTACTACCCTAACTTACTGGATTTATTATATACACAAGGTCTGGATATGAGGTATTCTGCAATCTGATTGGTTCTTTACTAGCAGGATATTAGCTCATATCCTGCTGGTAGCGAAAAACAAAATGGCGGCTGAAACTGAATTTTCGACGTTTACGAATGAGATAACGGCAAGTTGTTCGCTTTTTATAGCCTTTACAGGATTAAAAACACAACGAAAAAACTCCCAAAAATTGTTTACAGGTTAGCAAATGAATTTTTAAAATTTAACATGGTTAAAAGAATATAAGTTTTAAAAAATGATCTGCCGAAAGAGCGAAGATAAAAACATCAACAAAACAGAAAAATATTGAAAATATCCTAAAAGCAACGTCTGTGAATTCAGACCTTGTGTATATAATAAAACTGTTATTCCACTCACTCTTCTTGAATATGAGCGATAGCCGATTCGGCGCTACGCGCCTCATCGCCTATCAGCTCATATTCGGCTCGAGTTCGTGGAATAACTGTTAAATATCCCTACTCTATAAAATCATTAACAATTATACATATATTGACGACATGCAGTGGTAGACCGGTTATATCAGGACCAGAGATCACCAGAAGTGAAGCTAATGAGAATCGAATTAAATTCTTAATACCTTATGCCAAAACTGTAACGTTCCAGTCCTCGTATTATAAGAACGCACTATCGAACACGTATAACGGTGATGATCCTCGGACTTGGAAATCTGTTTGTGTTAAATGTAAAAGGGCTAGATCTCTTGATGATGTTTTAAACTGTTGTTAGTTGTCAGTTTAGCCGTTAAGTAATTGTCATGTTCTACTTAGACTTTTCGTTAATCAATTATTTGAACGTAATTTTTATGTAAATATTAAGGGATCGCCGTAATTGGGGAACCTGTGGCACTACACTGTTGTATTTTTAGGTAGTTGCCGAATCTTATGAAATCATTAAAACATTTGAAGGCGATGCTTTTTCGAAGGCGGCGGTCTATATAAAATATTTTATTTGTAAGCGATAACAAGAAATAGTATAAACAAAATCGAACATACAAGCACTGAAATGCAAAAGAAAAAGTTCAGTGGCGTGTTAAAAAATGCAAGCTAGTACCCATGCAGGGTGTTTTCCTTCCTCAGCCGGGTGGCACTTCAGACCTTGCTTCGATTAAACGCCGCGTTGTTGTAAATATGTGCAGCGCTTATTCGAGGGTTGCGCTCAACTGGGGACGGCGCTTAAACAAGTAAATACGGTGATCGCGTGTAACGGTTTGATGAAGTTACTTCGACAGAATATCTTCATGAATTCAGTTTTTCTGGGATGTGATGTCAAATGATTATGACAGCACCAGTTTCACAGTTTCACGTTGAACATTGTGTAGTGCTCTACATACTAAGTCGTGGCTTTTGTCAATTGCAATTGTGTCATGCGCAAACATGAAATTAAAAAATCTTCCATTCATCGCATTCACAAAGTGATGTAAATAACAATAATAATATGAAAACAGAAAAGGGCCCAGCACTGACGCTTGAAGCACTCCATATTTTCTTAACAGTCACTTTGATTACATCCGTTTATAACTGTTACTTGCGTCCGATCAGTCTGATGTCTGCAATACAGGACAAATAATGTGATAGTTATTTCGTGATGATGGCCTGGAAATTGCTAACAGAACACTCATAATGTAAAGCGATCAATTTTCTAAGTTATTGGAGTAGGCATTTATTATCCGGCGAGTGGTTGCATTAATACATTTCCAGTTCATAATGACGGTTTAAAAGTAATGAATTTTAGATCAATAGTCAACAAACACCATGACTTAGTTTGTGTTTGGACTGTAGTTCCCATAACGTCGGCGCATGCTTTATCTATCAACTATAAACTTCCTTCCACATCTATTTGACATATTCCTTTTGAATTTCTCTTACTTTTGTTTTAATGAGAAATTGACCTCTGACGAAAATAAATATCCATCTCATTATAATATAAAAGCGCACCGATGTCCCAGGAAATTTGGCTCCCTCAAAATTTGCCCCCCCCCCCCAATTTCCTAGGCCAAAATTTGGCGCCCCCTGCGGCAATTTGGTCCCCTCGAAAGCATAGTTCACTTTATCGCAATAAGCTCGGAAATCGTGAAGCTTCTTATAAAACCAAGATCCTAAAAGTGTTTGTCAGTATTTATAGTTAGTTTGCATAATTTATTATATTTGTGTCGAAATTCTTCATTGCGGCCTGGGATGTTGTTTGCTGTCCTTCCCATTTGCTATATCTAAACCTTAAAATTTGAGAACTTAAGCAGTTATATTTTCATCATAATTGACGTCATGTGCACGCAATTGTGTGCTCATTTATAGCGTCAGTATTTCTTTCTTGAACTTACATATACCAATCCATCAAACCGCCAGTTTTATATAAGTAAATTATTTATTACCTAACCCTTATCCAAACCTCATAACTAAACCCATTTACAGGGGCGTACCTAGCGGGGAGTGTGTGTGTGTGTGTGTGGGGGGGGGGTGAGAACCCCAGATTTTTGAAATCGCCTGTAAATTTTGAAAATTGTCGGTCAATTGATCTTACTATAAAACGTTCGGTAAAAGAATAGACGCCCTGATTGCATGCCCTCGCAATATTTTTAAGACGTATGTTGTCACTACATGGTTCTAAAAACTACTTACCCAACCCCCTACTCACCAGGATTTTAGGGGAAAAAATTTACTCTGAAATTTAGGGAAATACACGCCCGAGCGTAATGGCCTCGCCACGCCACTGTTTAAGCATAACAATCCTGATCTATCTCTGTAGCAACATTTGTATGGCTTTAGGCAATTATTCACCAGTAAAAACACAACATAATTTTAATTTATTCCCAACTCACACACCTTTTCCTTAAATCCTGATAGCGCATTTTTAAGAAATTACAACTATTAGGGCTAGGTCAGGTCTCGAGGAGGGCCTCTTCCCCAGACAGTTAAGTCGGCGTTTATACGTTGCGATTAATCGGGTCAATATCAGGTTTTGCCGAAGTGAATGACGAATCGTGTCAGATGACGTTGACAGCGTATTTAATTAAAGTTGAATCGCCCGACAAATCGCAGCGTGTGAACGTACTTTTAAGGTGCATAAAGATAATCCTGTGCTTTGCAGAGGCGGCGCTAGCCTTAAATTTTACCAACCCATTTTAAACGCTAATTAATATTCCTTCTCCCAAAATTGTTGGCGAACGGGGGAAGGTTGGGGGGGGGGGGAGAGGGAGAGCTTTACGGCTCAACATCAAAAATTTTAAGCTACAATTATTAGATTTGAATCAATATCACTGAAATATTTTGGTTTCTTTTCTCCTTATCCAACTGGGATTAGATAATTTTCCAACTACCTGACGACTGGGGGAGAGAGTGTATTCCATCGGAAGGGGCTGGGGAACTACACCTTCTCCAATATACACCCTTTAGTGCCGCCCAGCTGCCTGCGCTGACTTTTATTAGATAGATCGGAATATCGAGAGGATATGAGAAAGTAGGCAGATGTAGCTTTTTCAACAAGGTTGACTTTTTACATTAGATATCAAAGGAACCCAGGTCATCTGAATAAACATTGAATGAACAACTTTATTTAATTTAAAGAGAGTAAAAACACATGACAGTAATATATACGGAGTTATTAATTCTACTTTGAAACCTCTAAAAGCTACTTAGAGAAAGAAAAAAATATATAAAGGTCTCAGGAAATTAAATTTATATATATATTTAATTATGCAGTTTACTCATCGCAATAATAATTCAAAGCGATTGATAGCCTTAAGTGCAATTGCAAACCTAAAGGAATTAACTCTAAAGGAATTAATATCTGAAAATCCTGCTTCACTACACTGGGCAAACAAAAGGCCTACTAGCTGGGTTAAATGCCCCAGTAGTTACATAGTTAAAAATTCCCTGAACCCTGACCTCGTTTATTATTTTCTAAAACACATGCACGGTCTTGGACAATGTTGCAATAGTAGAACGACGTATTTAAATTGATTAATGCCTGACCCTCATCTAAAACTCCCCCCAACGCTGACTAACCTACCGAAAAATGTGACCTTTGGATCATGTAGCCATGCATGTAATCAAGAAGCTTAATGGACCAGGTATTCTATAAACTGAATTTTCCTGAGCCTCAAAATCCTTTAACAATCGTTTGACACAGCCGCGAAACTCCTTTCATTTTCAAAGATCTTGGTGCATTTCGATCCAAAACTTCCTGTGGCCCTGAATTGTGTGTTGCTGGCGCAGTCATCTCACACAAGATTCCAAATCAGGAGATGACTATACTTCCCGCTCTCATAACCCAGCTGAAAAGAACTAAAGTGAAATCCACAGAGAGGTCATCGCCATCATTGTTGGCATAACCAAGTTCTACATATACCCTTACGTCAGGAAGTGCACGTTCTATGCTGACCATCAGCCATGTTTAAATATACTTAGCACACGAATTTGCTATGCATCTACGGTTCTTCTACAGCACTGGTTTTGCTACTATGGCATCAAATTTAAGAGATCCAAGGACATCAGCCAATGCATATGTTTTTTCCTGGCCTGATTAAGCAATTTTTTTATTCATCACACCATCTTGCGAAGTGGGGAAAACGATGCTAATA